CCTGTCAGTCAAATCATCATGCTCATAATTATGCAAAATGATCTGAACCCTGAATGTCATCAAAACAGATGACTAACAAAACAAACAAATAAACCCTGTACAGTTTTTACCAATAAATATATGAGCTATTGAGACCAAAAGTATTTCTTTAACCAGGCTGTGTTATGTGTTCATTTTGGTTGTACAAATGGCCATTTTAAGGATTCCTTGGCTTTTCACACCAGCCTGAAGTTGACACACCAGGAACTGCAGTTTTTGACTTTAAAGGTCACATATTATACCGCCTTCAACAAGTTTTTTTAGTAAGTCTCAGAGCTCCCCAAAACACGTTTCAAAATGTTTCTGCTCAAAATCCACTCATGCCTACAAACCCCTCTATTTCAGCCCTGCTCAGAACAGTCTGTTTCTGTGTCTGTAGCTTTAAATACAAAGTGAACTGTGCTCGACCACACCCCCCCTCTGGGAGGAGATTGCAAGGCAGACCCATAGGACAGAAGAAACACCTAGCTGTGGGAGATTCACCCTCTCGTGGGAGGGGTTACTGCCTTTTGTGGTGTCATGAAATACCCCTGATACTGTACTTTAAATTTGGCTTTATGTCTTTATTTTTCAAAAACAAACAAACTGGTTACTTCTGATAGCAGTAATATTCGTGGTATATTCAGGTATATTCCAACAATCTAGACTTTTTCTGACAGAATAATTAGTGTAGTAAGATTTTCAGGTGGATTTTCTTTCTGTGCTGCAGACAGACCTCCTCTTCCACTGGTGGCTGACTTGAAAAGGGTCAGTTATCTCACTCGTGTGTACAGACTAGAGTCAGTCGGATTTCCATGACACAAATTGTTGCTATCATCCTGCCTCAGCCCGGGGTCAAAAGAAGGCAGTTTAAGTCGCAGTCCTATTTGATCGGCAGTCTCACGCACATGTAGTCACGTTGGAATTTGCCTGCAAAATGCATTAACGGCGTGAAGCAAATTCGCTTCTCTCCGCTGTCTGACTTGAGCTGAAGTCTTGCAAAAATCTGAAGTTTATATGCAGCAGCCCCCGGAGGCACGATTCGGCCTGACAAACACTTCCACACACTGAAATACATATTCACACATACACACAAAGAGAAACACTCTCATATCTCAAACTCCTAGTTAAGAAATGTGAACTTTTCAGACTACATGACACAGTGTACTCGATGCTGCAGAGAGGTTGTATGTTAATGAAGGGGTGAGTCCCTGAGGTGAATGCAGGGTTTGAGATAATAGAGAGGGAAGTATAGTAGGAGGGAGTGCAGCATGGGTGAGTGAGAGGAAGACACAATGGAGGAAGAGAAAACAGGGCTAAGAGAGGATGACAGGAATGCTGAGAAGAAATTAAATTGGTTGTCTTTTGAGAAGAGGAACGGGGTGTTTTAGAGAAGACTGGAGAGGAAGTTGACTTAAATGGTGACATGGCTGGCATGTGTAATTGTGTGCGAGTGTGTGTAGTGTGTCTGGTGGGGGGGGGTTATTTCCCTATAGAGCTAATTAAAGGCTTCTAGTCCCAATGCTCTTGGCCTGCAGAAGAAAGGCCAGAGGGACAGCGATAGAGAGAGCGACACAGACATAGAGAGAGACTCTTAGCGACTCTTATTTCTGCAAAGATAAGTGACAGAGCCGTTTGAGAAAGAGATATAGAGAGAGAGCGAGAGAGAGAGAGATAGGAGGAGGAGGAGGGAGAATAAGATATAGAGATAGGCAGGAGATGATGAAGAGCAGCACGGACAGAGTGAGTGGGCGTTTGCGAGTGGGAAAGTGTGATCACAGCTTTGGGAGGCAAGACAGGAATTTGGTCTGCATAATGATAAAAAAACCACAAGAGAGACAGAAGCTGTGCTAAGATTTCAATGTGACACTGAAAATCATATAAAAGTCACAAGCTGTGACAGTCAGAGGCTTTCTGTGCTGGGACTAGGATCAGGCTCTTCATTAAAAGAAGCATTACCTCACAGTCAAAGTACCGTATGACAAGGTTCCACACTCAAACTCTGTGAACTGTATGGATGTATTTTCAGCTACATTAACATCAACTGTTATATTAGTTATATAGAAACAAGCCGCCTGCATTAATATGCTGTTTCACTTTAGTGCACTTGATCAAGTTGCAGCTTTAACTACTTTGTATGTTGTTAGTTCATTCAACAAAAATGTATTGATAAAACTGTTTAGATCCATGATTTTCAACTGGTGGGTCGGGACCCAGAAGTTCGTTGGGAAGTGGTGTTAGTAGGTCGTTTTTATCTATGATGCACTTTTATTTTAAAGAACATGTGTGGTAGGATTGTTTATTCATTCTCAGGAGGTCACTGTATGTGGAAGTAATGCACCTTAACGCTGGTCATCTGTCGTTAAACGTTAAGAGAAGAAGAAGAAGTAGAAGACCAAGTATAAAGTTTGTTTTTATGCTGTCATGGCGAAAAGCAAAAAGCAAGCAAGGAATTACTGTAGAGCACATTTGCGTTCATTTAAGTGTAGGTTTTCTCTTTTTATAAGATGACCTTCCTCTTGTTTTTCTTTATTCTACTGAAGTGCATGTTCAGTCTTTTTGGATTCTCAATGAAAGGTTCTAAAATCGGAAGAAAAAAAAACAAGTATGTGGTGGCAATGAAGTGTAAGTGGAAACAGAAGAAGACACTACTCAAGTAAACTGAAGTACTTGAGCAATAGTTATGTAAATATGTAGTTTTATTCCTGTAGGTACTTTATGCTGGTTTAAGGTTGCAATTATCCCACATCCTGTTTTTAAAAAAAGCTACAAAATGCTGACTGAAGTAAAAAATAAAAATGTAGTTTCTTGTTGTAGTGCTAATGGCACTTCTAGCTCTGAGTGTTAGCATGCTTTTTACTTGTTAAGCCAATGTGATTAGAAACAATTATTAGAAAAAAAACCTTTGTCATTTACAGTGAAGAATTCAACAATAAAAAACATATGGTCATTGCACACATACATTCCCTAAATAACTCAGAAGCCATTCAGTGTCATTCAAGAAAAAAGGCTTTTGGCCCCTAGAGGGCGCCACAAAGTCTACATTTTCTGAAAATGCACCATTGAAGGGTTTTTTTAAAGTTGCATAGCTGAACTTAACCCCCATGTAACAATGATTTGAATGAAGTAATGTGTGCAGGCTGTGCCTCTGCATTAAAGCACTATAAAGGGTTCATGCTGCATTAGTTGTTGCAGCCTAATTGGCTGAACTGTTAAAACCTGGAGGATCAATAACATCTCTGGGGGTACAGTGATCAATAAGCAGCATGGCACTCTCAAGTAACTTAGGTAAAAGACACAATTGTTAAGCAAATGTGAATTTCTATTATTGAATGATAATGATCAGGGTTCTATTTGACTGAGGGAATATTCCTGATACCCGATCTTAAGCACTCAATTAAACACTGCTGGGATTGTGATTCATTTCAGAGTATGTTTGATGCAGTCGTGCAGTAGTGCAGTAGTTAGGCTAATGTGTGTGTGTGTGTGTGTGTGTGTGTGTGTGTGTGTGTGTGTGTGTGTGTGTGTGTGTGTGTGTGTGAAACCTAATCTAATACAAGCAGACACACCTTTTCTTCCTCCTTCGCTCTCATTCTCAAAGTCTGAGAAATTCTGAGATTCCTCTCCCTTTTTCCCTTTTTCTTTTTTCTCTTTCGCGACGCTGAACACACACACACACACACACACACACACACACACACACACACACACACACACACACACACACACACACACACACACACACACATACACTCTCACACACACACACACACACACACACACACACACACACACACACAGACACACGCACAACCAAATGCGCACACACACACACACACACACACACATACACACACACATACACCACACACAGATGCACACACAGATGCACACACACTCCCAGTACCCCACATCTCCTAGGGAACACAGGGATGTCTCTATGGCAACAAGCAGCTTGCTCTTCTAATGAACTGGTTGCCGTGGTGACCGGAATCGGCTGTGCGCTAACGGAGACACTGGATAAAAAAGAGGGAGAAAATGTTATTTTACTCCTCTGCACAAAACCGCCGTGCAGGATTTTTATATCTGCTTTGTAAGGCGTGCATACACACACACACACACACACACACACACACACACAATAAATACTGTACACTGAAGTGTGTCAATGGGTATGTGTTGCAGGTTTAAGATGAGTGACAGTTACTGAGGGATTGTTCGGGGTTAGAAGCAGCAGCATTGCAGTAAAAAGCAGGAATCCTTGCAGCTGGCTGTTCTCTGCGTGGGCCAATCATCATCCTGCTGCTGCCTCAAGGTCAGAGAATAACCCAACTCCACTCTGGTCAGGCAGAAAGAGGAGCAAAGGGGAGAGAGAGAGAGAGAGAGAGAGAGCAGAGCCAAAAACCTTCTGTCAGCCATCTGTGTAGTGACTTACGTTCCACTTTGCTGACTGAGCCGGTCTATGCGTTTGGCCATGCACAACCTCGCAGGACACACTTAAAGCTGCACCGAACTGTCAGTCATGTCCAGGCTGCTAACAAGAGGCCACTGGGAATCACCCGCGTTACTCTGGCAATGTCTCCCCCTGCTGGCTCTGAAGGGGAACAGTCTCCATGTGATGCAGTCACTCCGGTTAGAGCATACCACGGGATTGAATAAAGGGCAGGGGGGTGACCTCCTCAATGGCTCTAAAGATAAACATCAGAGTTCAAGAGATGATTCATAGGAGAAAAAAAAAAAACATGATGATTTTTTATTTATTTCTAAGACTCCCTTCTACTAATTTCAAATGAGTACAGTGTTGGAGGATGGTGTTTGCTAATGCTGTCAAATATTATTCAAGACACTTTTAAAAATATATTTTATCTCTTTATAATTAGATGTTTATAACTGTAAGTAAAAATCATTTCAACCCCTTGATGTTTAGTATTTCTCTAGTCTATGATCTAACAGCAGTGTCTTGTCTCTTGTCTGTCCTGCAGAAATGTTTGCGATTTAACCCCGAGGCCACCGTGTGGAAGGCCAAGCAGCAGGTGCTGTGCTCCCTGACCGAATCTCTGCGGGACGTCCTGAACTACGGCCTTTTCCAACCCGCCACCGACGGCCATGACGCCAAGTTCCTGGAGGAAGAGCGACTGCTCAGAGAGTACCCACAGTCCTTTGAGAAAGGGGTACCATATTTGGAGGTGCAATTCCTTTCCTGCTTTGACACAGCCGTAGATGCGTTACTTCACAATGCAGTGACGTGAAACTGATGTTAGAGGTCCACTTCAAAAAGTTGTGAATAGATTTAGAGACACTGTCTTAAAACCTTGTTTGAATAAGCTTAAAAAGCTGTTGTTTATTTTATGACGTAAGTGCACCACCTCACAGGAATTCAGATTGCTTTACTGTTACCTCCAGCTTTATGGCTCACATCATATGAGCAGGTTTTATTCCAGCTTTCTGTATATATTTAGAAGAACTGTCAGACTACTTCCACCTTAAATATTGCTGGTGTGATGTCAACCTACTTTTTACTATAACACAGTCTCCATTTCATAACAATCTTCAATAGGAACGTTGACTATCAAGCTGATTTTAATGCCTGTTATGATTCACATTAAGAAAACCAAGGAAGCCTTTGATACATTTTTCCAGCTCAGTGTGGCACAGAGACGCAGAGCCATAGCATTATAGGGATTCTGTGAATGAAACAGAAAGTGGGTCAAACACATCAAAAATAGAGAGACAGAAAATTGTCCTTTAACATCAGACAAGCACTAAACCGGTCAGGTCTAATGATAAAGATGTTAGCCAGTAAAAAAAGAAGGAGGAGAAGATCTTTCTTTAGAGGATTCTACACAAGCATGTGCAGGGTATGGATCAGAAGAGATGACATGTACTGCTTTGTCCGCAGCAACAAAGACCATGTTCTAAAAAGGTTAGCTTCATTAAAGAAGTGTCATACACCCCTTCCCTGTTGCTCAGAGCAACACCTGCTAATCCCTCATCCAGCCTGTTCACTTTCCTCCTTTTCATGCTATACTCTGACCCAGCGGAGGCTCTAAACCGCCTTGAAACTGCTGTAATGCCCGACCACTCCTTTCACTATTCTTGTCTTCAGTGAAGCAGGGGAGGAAGGTTTTGTAAAAGAAACCAGCTAAAGCTTCTCTGTACAATAAATCAGGAGGCCCTATTTTGTGGATCTAGGCCAGAAGCTAAGAGAATTAAGGACAGACGCCCTCTGTGTTAGGATTAACTCTTCCTTTCCTTTCTCTTTTCCTCTGTTTTTTTTTTTTTTTTTTTTTAGTTTCGATACAAAACCAGGGTGTACAAACAGACCAATCTGGATGAGAAGCAGCTGGCCAAACTGCACACTAAGGTATGAAACCCACTGGTCCTGAAGGATCCAGGCTGCATGTTGCATTCATATAAATGCAGTTGACTTGAAATAAATACTGTATGGAATGCATGACACCATTATTGTATGCATGAGCTTCACTAAGTGTGCATTCCTTTGCATGTGCATGTGAACACTGTGCCATGTGATGGTTAAATGTGCTTCGCTTGCACGGACAGCATTTGTAATTCAGGATGAGAGCTTTACAGCAGCACTCTTCTCTCTGCACACAGGCCAGCCTGAAGAAATTTATGGATTATATCCAAACCAGCGCTGTCGACAAGATGGTAAAGTTTATCGACAAAGGCCTTGACCCCAACTACCAGGACTCTGACACCGGCGGTAAGGACGACCACATCGAAAGATTGTTGAAAGTTTGTCAAAAAGTGGATGTTGATGTACAGCGGATGTTTTAGAAACTACATTTTTTTTAAATTTTCATTTTAAGACCAGATGAAAAATAATTGTACAACTAGTGTTAATTTCTAGTTAAGATTGATACTGATGTCCACTTTCTGCATCTCTTTTCATGCATCTTTCTGCACACACACACTTACTGTTAAGTCGTAATGCCATTTCATCGCTCTTTTTTTATTTACCTACAGCCACATGAACTCACTGCTGCAGCAGATTTCGTTCCGTGCCGCTCTGCTGTATGAACTCTCTGCACGTTAAAGCTCTGCAGTGTGTTGGTCCAACACTGGGTCCAGGATCTGTGCCAGTGCTGTTCACTATTTGATGGCTTCGCTCGGATCCTTTTAGTGCTTGGGGGGGGGGGGGGGGGGGTTGGGCGCAGCAGACGGCTCACTTACAGTTTGTGTGTGCTGCTCTGTGTCACTCCAGCAGCTCTGGGAGCAAGTGTCAAAACACACAAAACACAGCCTGTCATCTCGGGTGTGAAACTCACTTCCCCTGTTTACCACCAGGGGGCAACAGAGGGCACTGCTGAGCCTCTCTCACTCCTCCAACATCATATTAGGAAGAAAGAAAAACAGATAGATAAGATACAGTACACACTTTACAGCTGAGAATTAGACGTGGCTTTGGAGTGTGATGTTTCTGATTCTGTACTCACAGGTGATCACACAAAGATCAGGCGAGTTAAGGGTAGAGAAGAAGTAGTCGATTTGTCACTTGGACAGTAAAACTATTGCTTGATACTAAATGAACCAGCAAATATCTCTCTGTATCTATATGCAGGAGTTGATCATGTGATGCCAGCAGACACAACACTATGGTGCTTGCAGGGATGTAACATTAGTCAGAGTTATTAAAAAGTCGGCAGTTTGGCAATATTTTACTGAGGAAAATCTCACCATTAAAAAAAGACTGTATGAACAACTGGCAAGGCTTCAGTTTTTAAACATAACTTTTATATTATTGCTGGTACAAGATTTGAATCTGAAGGTAATAAATGACACTCTAATAAGTTTGATTCTTGCTGGTGTCGGCCAACAAATGAATCATCAGCAGCAGGGATAAAAAGGTGTTATTTGAACATCTCTTCTTGTTCCATGTGCTGGGGCTCGTCTCCCCAGAACTCTTTTTCATGCTTTCCCATCCAGCAGGAGGCTCACACCGAGCGTCTTTCATGCATCATAAAATAATCCTAGCACATTCAGCACAGCTCCATGTTCACTTCCATGTTTGCCAAGGGAACTGCTTAATGGGCATCCCCCAAGTCATCCCGACACGGCAACTTCAGAGAAAGAGTAGTCACAACATTCCCCCCCCCCCCGAATTATCTGACTACCTGAGATCTGTTGGAAGATAAAAGCTCTCAGTCGTTTTCCGCTCTGCCAAAAACTCTTGTCGCCATGGCAGCCAGCGCTCTGTAACTTGTTAGGCTGGGAACACTCTGAATGCTTCATTCTTCCAGGTGTCATTGAACTTTGCAGCTCAACAGTTTTCAAGTGGGTTAAGTGTGATTGAAAGTATTGTGACACAGCTTTACACACGTTTTAAAATACTAGTTTTTTTTTCTTTTTTTTTCTTTGCTGATTTCTTTGATGTCAGCAGTTGTGGAAGAGTACCAGTGCATCCATTGGAGAAAACAGATTTTGTCAGCATCTACCTGGAAGCTAACGACGCAACCTGTTTGCATGAAACCAATGATCAGAGGCACTCTCCAGAGAGGCTTTTATTTTATTTTAACAGAGATGATTCTGAACATGTGCAGGAATCTTGACAGTTTGTTGAAATGTATCAGCGTGTGGAGTTAAGCATCCCCAGAATCAAACTGATATAATACCTAAATCCTCCCTATGATGGCAGGTCTCTTCTATCCCCGGGTAACTGTCATATGTCTTTATACAGAGTGTGTCCTCTTTTAAGTCTCTGAAATATCTCCTAATGGTACTTTAGTTCCACTGTCTTCTTAAGAATCTTTAGAGCCTTGAGGTAGATTTAGTTACTGATTATACTAATAAGATAAACAGCAGTTTAAAAACACAAGATAAAACCGGTTAAAGTCAGACTTCAACTTTCTTAAAAGGACAGTTTTTCTGTTTTTGGAGCTAATGAAGATGCAAGCATGCTTAATTGCTGAATTAAATGTCGAGCTTCAAAAACATACCTGCTCTCATGCTAGCTTTGTCATTAAGAGCTAGTTAGCATGCAGGCATTAAGTGAGAACACTGCCTACAGTAGTGTAGCTCGCCTACCTGAAGACTTCTATTCCTGATTCTTTCCTATTTAAAGGAGTGAACTTTGTTTTTCAGTCTGTCCTATAGATCATTTTTTGAAAGATATATTTTTTTCAGATTTATGATCAAAAAAGTTTATGAAGAAAGCTGCAATTATATACCCTTTTTTTTGTTTTACAGTCGTTGGCTTGTACCCTTGAATCTTAATATATTGTCTTCTTAAGAAGCATTTAAGAGGTTGGTTTACATCAAGGGTATGAATAATGACTTTTGGCACAAAAAACAAAAACAAATCCCCTTGCTGTGAACCTGACACAGTTTGTTATGTTTGTTTTCTGTCTAACCTGTAAGGAGAAAGCTGCTGGTGTCCAAAGAGCTTAACCTTGAAGCAAAGACAGAAGAGTAAAAAGTTCAAATGTATAATTTAGTCTTTCAGCACCCCCCTCTAAGTGCAAACAGTTTGACCTCTAAATGAAGTGATTTTCAGACCCCTGCTGTATCACAATCCTTCTAAACTATTAAAAGCTGTGTTTGTTTTTCTGTGTGTGTCCGTCAGAGACTCCTCTTTCCCTGGCAGTGCAATGTGAGCCGGGTGGAGGCGAGTCCATTCGAGTCCTGGTGGAGGGAGGGTCTCATATCGACTTTCGTTCCAAAGATGGACTCACTCCGATACACAAGGCTGTTCGAGGCCACCGCCATACAGCCCTGCTGGTAAATACTCACCAACAATAGTGGTCCTCTGATAAAGACGCACTTATCATATCACATTTTCATTGTTGTGCCTGAAAAAGGAGTGAATCCAGAAATACTGTTATTAATGCAGAAACTGTACATGGACCAAAGTCCCATTCATCTATTCAAGAAAAGAAAGACATTAAAATTCAGATTGCTTGGGGCGCCAATGGACTATCGGTTGTGTCGCGCGCCCCATGTCCCGGCGGCCGTGGGTTCAAATCCAACCTTAGCCCTTTGCGGCATGTCATTCCCTCTCTCTCCTCCCGGCATTTAACTGTCTCTCTTCAGCTTTCCTATCTATGAAAGGCAAAAATGCCCCCAAAAATGTCATATTGCTTAAAGGTTTTAAAGCTGTCTGCTGTTAGGCATACGTCCAGATCTTCAGCCAGGAAGACATGCACCAACCTGAAGAGGGGAAAGTCATTCAGAGGGAGATAATGACATGTGCCACATTGTCAGAGACTTTGTTTCCCGTAAAGAAAAGAAACAGCTGCTAAACGGCAAAAAAGACTTAGAGCAGCAGATTGATTGAATACATTATTCTCTCTTCCCTGAGGTCTTTAATGACCTACCTGAACCCCCGGCTGTGAGCGCCAAACCTGATATAAAATCCATGAATATTCCCCGACTTGAAATTCTAAACCCCATTATGAAACTTGTCATTGCTGCATTTTTATTGTTGTGTTGTTAGTTAATAGACGTCACTGTAAGTTTACTGCAGAGTGATAATTGCACGCTTCATTATTCCGTGTTATTGTATTCATGGCTGCAGGTATTTAAGATTGGCCTTATCGTTTCTGCTGTGTCGTTTCGCAGGTCCTTCTGTCTCTCGGTGCGTCACCTGACTATAAGGACCGGCGGGGGCTAACGCCGCTGTACCACACTGTGCTGACAGGGGGAGACACCTCCTGCTGTGAAACACTCCTTTATCACCACGCCAAGCTGGGCATCAGGGACGAGAACGGCTGGGACGAGACACATCAGGTACATACATGTGTGTGCTCTGGCTCTTCATAGACTTCAGGTGGAGAGTCTTTTGAGAGCTGGATAGTAGAATAAGGACGATATAAATACAGATTTAGCTCGATTTAAGAGTTGTGTTGCAAACCAGAGGTTCCCAAACGAGTCCTGAGCCCCCCTAGGACCTCCTAGTATAAAAAAAGTCACGCATTGCTGTCTTTTTTTTTTCCATTGATAAAATCCCAACAGAATGGGCCTACACTATAAACACTTACTCTTACCAAACTATGCAGTAAATGTGATGTCAACATACGATTTGCACATATTGACGACAATCATGACAAACGCAGAGCAGATAAAGCTTCCTCCCACCACCATAGAGCCTTAGGGCCCTTCAAGGGGTTGTGGACCTCAGGTTGGGAACACAATGATGTTACAGCACAGGGCAAAATATCTGACTAGGGTTGATTTGGAGTTTCAGTTTCTGTTGCTTGTGTTCCTCTCTTCCTGTTTGTAATGTACCAGTGTGCTCTGTGTTCCAGCGTCTGCATGTTTACGTCTAAAAAACCCTTCATGCCGTGAAACACCACACCTCTCATCTCGGACACCCTTCACCCTTCATCTCACCCATCCACCCTGCTTCTTTAGCCTCATATTCCAGCATTGAAGTGGACAGAAAAATAAAGGTATCAGCCTCTTCCAATCAGCCTCCATGGTATACTGTCTGTGTGGATGTATGTTGAGTTAAGTTTTCACCTTTACATTTAGCATTTAAACTGACATTTGATCAGATATCCATAAAGCTAATATTTGTACACACACTTAATATCTTTAAATGTGTATTTTTCTATGGTTGCCTAAATTATAAGTACAATGACAATAAGATAGAGCAATAAAACCAGAATTAGTTTTCTTTTATTGCCACCTGTAGACTACATAATCATGGTGACACACATCAATGTTTCCATAAAAATAAAATAATGTGTCGAGATGAGATGATGATGTAATGTGGCCTGAGTACAAATGATAATAACTTCAGTAGCTTATGATTGAACAGTATTAAACTGTTAAGTCAAATGACTCTTTAACAAAGTTACTGTCTCTGAACGTGTGTCTCCTTGTTGTCATCATTTCAGTATGATTAGGATTGCTCTAAGAATATTGTCATTATTGGACCCGGCCGATGTTCCCTCACTGTTTTCTCACCCTTTGGTTTTGGAGGTGGTGTTAATTAAATGTGGTGTCACTTTATAACAGTCTGACTCTGTCACTGTCTCTTCTACATCCTTGTTTGCTTCTCCTCCTCTGTCCTCTTTATTAAACAGCCACATGAATCCTTCCTGTTTCACTCTTCAGTACATCTTGGGTTTTTTTTATACCTCCTTATTAACTCTGTGCTCTCTCTCTCTCTCTCTCTCTCCCTCTCTCTCTCTCTTTCATCACTCAGGCCTGTCAGAATGGAAACTCGCAGCATCTGGAGCATCTCCTCTTCTATGGTGCGGACTCTTCCTCCCAGAATGCCTCTGGAAACACTGCCTTGCACATCTGTGCTTTATACAACAAGGTACAGCAAGTTTTTTCTTCAAGAGAAAATGTTCGGATATATCCTCTTCCTTCTTGGAATAAATACTAACACAAAATAAAAGGAACAGAAGAGGCACTCTTACCTTTTATGTTCAGCATCCTGATATCCAATTTCAATTTTTATTTACAGTAACAAAAAAGAAGATGATAATACATTGATTAGAAAAATATAAACAAACCATAACTCTAATAACTCTAAAATGTGGTATTTGAATTTTTCATGGGCGATTAAGTATGAATATTTACATGTTTTGCCACTATGTGGTTGCAAAAAAAAATCACTGACTACACATGTCTGCCAAACAGCTTTTAAATGATGACTTAAAATTCTTGAATATTTGCTCCACTCTGCTTTTAAAGCATGTTTTCTATAATATTTGATATTCAACAGTTAGCCTGTAAGAGCATTAATAGCATAAAGTCAAAGAAGAGATAACTGAATTACAAAGTGCAGACATGAGAATACACCACATACATCTCTGTACTAAAGAGTGATTAAACACAATATTTTAAATGATCATATATGTTAATCAGTGTTTTTTGTTGTAGGAAAGCTGTGCACGAATTCTCCTCTACAGGGGCGCAAACAAAGACACAAAGAACAACAGTGGGCAGACCCCCTTTCAGGTAATGGCTTACTGCGTGGCTGGATAATTATGCATGTTGACTGTTTGTATTGTTGAGTGTCTTATTAAGTTAACGTAGCAGAAAGTGCCAGGGCCTAATTTCACTTTAAACCATTATTCTGCTGGCATGCATGCAGGCATGCAGAGGTCTCAGGTGGCAGTGATTGTGTGTGACCCCAGAATGTGGATACATTAACTCTGTCGGAGCACAAAGAGCCAGCTGAGACTCTCTGATGTGTTTGGGTGTGAGGTGGCGAATAAAAGAGGAGAAAACACAGAGAGGGCACTGAAGTCTGCAGGATTGTTCGCTGACCTGTGCAGTTTATCAGAGGCATTAGTGCAAAAGTGGAAAGAATACAAAAATGTGTTTTGCATATGAGAGCACTCATATGTTTGTGTCATTCTTGTTTAAGACACCAGGGGATTATCCTCACCTGACTTTTTAGATCCAGATATCCTGTAACTTTAAGGAATCACTAGTTGAGTGTTTCTGTATAGATGATCCATCTTTGCTGCATCAGGCACCTCTTCAGCTACCAGACCAACTTCTTACTCTCCTAGTAGAGCGACAAGTTTAGACTCTTTAAAATGTGGTTCTTACAGAGAATCGATAATCCTTCATTAAAACCTTTCTTAAAGCCCCCATATTTCATTTTCATCTGATTTGTTTGTGTGTGTGTGTGTGTGTGTGTGTGTGTGTGTGTGTGTGTGTGTGTGTGTGTGTGTGTGTGTGTGTGTGTGTGTGTGTGTGTGTGTGTGTGTGTGTGTGTGTGTGTGTGTGTGTGTGTGTGTGTGTGTGTGTGTGTGTGTGTGTTTTTCTATCAGGTGGCGGTTGTGTCTGGCCATTTTGAGCTGGGAGAAATAATCAAGAATCATCGGGATACAGATGTGGGTAAGTAGCAGTAAGTAGCTATCAAAGTAGCTTTAGTTCTTATATTCTAAAATGATTTATTCATGGAGGAGATTTGGGACTTAAATCAACAAATACATTGAAACAGATATGACAAATTCTATAACTCAAAGCATTTGCTATAGAGACACAGCATGTGGTCATCGCTATGAAAAATACTTGTTTATGGTGTAAAGGGTAAATAAATGTATTTACGAAGAAAACCAACAGTCAAAGAGAAATAGGTTATGTTCACCCTCGACTCCCCCCTTTTTTTTCACCTCCCAGTTCCCTTTGTGGAGTCTCCAAAGTACGCCCCCCAGAGGCGGGAGAGTGCCCGGACTCTCACCATACCCCACCCACATCCCTTTCTCCGAGCCAACAGCGACAGCAGCATGAACCTGCCAGACTGGATGGCAGTGCCCAACGCTCCGGGGACCAACATCGTCTCTGTGCAGGTCTGTGTTTGTGTCCCTGAAACACAAGATTAGACGTCAAAATTCTCCACAAAACAAACAAACAGTGAACAAAACAATCGAACCTCAAAGTCCATTTTGTCAGTGTTTTGTGGAGAAAGGTGTTGTGCCTGATGCTTCTGAGTGTGAGATTGTTTTTATCCACTTCCTGTTCGTCCACTTTGATGTTAAATCTGCTTTTCTACATTTTACTGTTTCATGTTGAAGTGGTTTGTTCACTTCTGAAGGATCCAATAAAACAGTATATTTATTTTGATCTCAAAGAAGAATGATATAAATACATATTGTAATTTTTACATCAGAGGAGGCTTGAACAGTTGCATCAAAACATTTGTAGACAAATTAAGAGCTCTTAACTGTTTGATACAATATAAAGCATGACCTTTATCAACCTCTGGTGGTGAACAGTACTCATTGCACCAACCTATATATCTTGTTCTTTTCCACAAACTGTCCATGTACATTAAGTGCAGTTTTAATGTGTCATGAGGAAGTTAGGAAGTCAAGATTTAGGATGTATTTTTCTGTTCAGTGATGGTAAAAGATGATAATAAAACTATGATTAATGAGACAGAATGGTATTATTCTATTTGATATATTTGATCAACTTTAATGTTATTATTATTAGTTACTATTGTTACATATGTTTTCTGCTTTTCTCCATTTTACAGGGCTATAAGCATACAGGCACCCTGAGGAGCTCCAGCAGTCCCAGAGGTGCAAGAACGCGATCCCCATCCAGAGGGCGGATCGGAGACAAGGAGGACCGCAGCAGGCAGAGTCGGAGGCAGGGGTGAGACGCTTAGACTGAAATCCTTGGCTAAACCAGAACCTCTCCTGCACTGTCTACAATTTCTACAATTCATTTAGCAGAACGAACAATCAGAGAGTAAATACAACACAAGCAAGGATCCAGAGAGGAGGAAACAACGTCAGGAAGTGCAAACAGCTTTAAGTCTGATCGGACACATAGGTGCTGACAGGCAGTGCACAGAGAAAAACCACAACATCAACAGCTGTTCTTACTGCAGCATCAAAACCATCCTAAAAGTCCTCATCTTTATTAAACAATACCATCATCATCATCAAAATCATTAAGTGCGTATGTATTTATGAAAGAGCTGGGTCTTTAGCTTTTTCTTAAAGGTGCAAAAGGACTCTGCAGATCAAATGGAGTTGGGTAGTTTGTACTCTGTTCAGAATACTAAAGGTTCATCTACGCCGACCAAAGTGCTCTTGAGACGTCGTTTGATTATTATAAGTTCTTATTTAACGTGATACTTAGTACTTTAGATACTTTATATTATTACTTTAGAAGTGGAGGAAGTGAATGTACATACCTACGAAGGTCAGTGTTGAAATGTGACTTACTAAAAGAACCAGGTGGTGGACAAACATCCAATCCAATCCTCCAATTTCCAATCTGTGGTAGTCAGTTCAACAGAGACTTCCCTAACGCTAAACAAATAAACAATTCAATGATAAAATTCCATTCATAAGTTAATTTCATACATCCCAAGACAAACCCTCTGCCCCCTCCCACAGGCCCGCCCCCCCCACCAGCACAGCTGTACAAACTGCAGGCCAGCGGAGACGCCTCTACAGCGCCGTCCCAGGACGAGTCTTTGTAGCTACCCGATCACACTCCGCCCAGGGCGAGCGAGAAATCAGCTTTAATAAGGGAGACAGGGTCAAAGGTGAGTAAATGTGCATTCATATAGTTTTAGCACCGAGTACATTTTCACATGCTCAGTGTGTGTGTGTGTGTGTGTGTGTGTGTGTGTGTGTGTGTGTGTGTGTGTGTGTGTGTGATGTTCGTGTGTTGGCTGGAACATAATGCAGCATTTTGTCTTCCATGTGATTTAAAAGTGGCTGTTTTTTTGGGCGTCAGTGTTTGTGAGGAGATGTTAACACGACAGGAGTGACATGAAATGAAAATGATGTTCTGCTAAAAATAGACACTAGATAGGTGTGTGATCATGTGTTTCCCTCTTTAACAAGATTGTTTATATAAAAATAAAACTCCACTATAATCATACGGACCGCTTTGAAATCCAAACCTGTGTAGTAATTAAAAACAGGAACATTCAGAAACATCAGAGGCAAACTGAATACTACAGTACAACAACCAACATGTACAGTTCTGTTCAGACGCTCTCTTTTAAGGCTTTGGCAAAGCCCCAAAAAGTTACTTAAGTAATACAGGCTGCTGACTGCAGGGGTTTAACAATTTCAGAGCTGAGATTGAATTAGCAGCTTTTAAGCTAACACAATAAAGTTAACTGATATAGTGAGCTTAACAAACACGAACATAGCAATCTACCTGACATCACCTAATACTACAGTGACCACAACACCAAAAGCTTCAAGCGCCTGTGAGGAACTTTCGCTTTGTTAAGATTTGGCGACCTGCAGGCTAGTACCTCTTTCTCTCTACTGAAAAAAATCCTGTAGATGAGTAAGAAGTGTTTATTTACCGACTAAACATCTCATCCAGCCCTCACTAAATAGGCAAAGATGTCCCTCACTCTGTGAAAATTTGCTGCTGAAAATGTAAAAAAAAAAAAAAGGATGCTGCAGCAGGTTCAGGAATTCAAGATGATGGTCTTTTTTTACTTTTTAATATAAAGGCATGAGTGTTAAATTAACTCAGTTTGATAACCAGTTAAAAACTCCTCATATGAGCTTTAAACATAATCTGCTTGTTTTAGTGTTGTGGCCGATGTGTCACATCATCTGTCACGCTCGGCACATGAACAGCATGGGATGCCACATCGGCGTTTCCTGAAAAGTTTCTTGTTAAAAACAACATCAGTGTATTCATACTACCTTGTTATCACCAGATGTAACCCAAGCCAGGTGTCTCCACATGTCTTTGTAAAATGTCCTGACGTGAGTGTGTTCGGTCTCTACATACTGTATGTTTGTATTCAATGTCTGCAGGTATGAATATGTGTGTGTTTGTGAGTAAGTCTAAGGTGTTGCCAGGTATGTATGTCTTGGTTAGTATGTAGAAGGGTTTGCATGTCTGTTTGTGCGTCTACATGATTTATTTTCTGTCTGTATAATGCTGTTGTCTTTTTACGTGTGTTGTCTTCGGTTTCTGTGTGTGCGTGTGTGTTTCTGTGTGTGTGTGTGCTGGTGTGTGTGTTGTGTTTCCTTGTCCTCCTGACATGCTGCTATTTCCTTCCACCCCCTCTAGTGCTGAGTGTTGGCGAGGGCGGGTACTGGGAGGGGACGGTCAGGGGTCGCACAGGCTGGTTCCCCTCCGACTGTGTGGAGGAAGTGATGCTTCGAAGCCAAGACAACCGATCAGGTGATCACAAAACACTCACGCACAAAAAAACACACACACACACACACACACACACACACACACACACACACACACACACACACACACACACACACACACACACACACACACACACACACACACACACACACACACACACACACACACACACACACACACACACACGCACATTTTGCAGCGTGCTCATCCTAAAGAACACCCAGTATCACTTTTCCAATAACTATTTTAACTGACTGGTTTTGTGTGACCACTTCTATTATTAGGACAACAGTACGCTGTAGAGGTGCTGCCAGCTGGATTTGTATCATCTATGAACAAGATTTTATATATTTATGCTAAGCTAACATGCTGCAGACTGTGGCCTCGTACAGTCATACAATGGGATCAATAATCTCATCCAACTCTCAGGATTGAAATGAAGTGTTTTACTCATCAAGGCAAACGGTTGCTGTCATGTACAATACATCATTTGTTTTTAAATAAAGCATTATATGCATTAGTACCTGCTTCAGTGTTGACACTCGCTGATCGGCCTCTGCTGTGGTTTATACACTTACTATTGACAAGTACCTCATACAACTCAACTTCAGAAAGTCTGAACTTTCCCTTTAAGTGATATCTTTGAATTGATTGTTTTGTTTTGAATAAAAAGTTACAATATTTAATATTTTCAATTCAAGCTGAAATTAGTAAATACATCTGTTATTGTTTTTTTTTTGTTAAAACTGGGTGATTGATTCTCTATTAATGACTGAGTGAGAAATAGTTTTGGCAGGTAGACACATGTTCGTCTCACGGTAGGTTTATGTTGTATGTCTGGTGTCGGTTGACCAGTAAATTCTCCTGTGATGATATTCTATTAAAATAGTTCTGCTGCGTTTAAAGATTTCATGTAGACGACCGCTTGCTGACATCGTTGTATTTTTTTCCGTGTTTCAGAGAGCCGTGGAGAACGAGCCAAAAGGCTTTTCCGCCATTACACTGTGGGATCCTATGACAGCTTCGATGCTCCAAGGTAAGAACTACAATCCTGGAGGACTACAACCAGAGAGACGAGAAATGTCACCTTCAGATTGTTGGGAAAGAATAACACGGCTTTCTTTTGTTGGCCTTCACTCTCGACCCCTCTGCTCCATTGTTGGAGAGTGGATGTTTGTACAGTGACATTCTGCACACATCTAATCCACATAGGATGATTCATGTGGTGATTCATACGTTCCAGTTGTGTTTTGATTAGTGTGTTGTGATGTTGAAGGGATGTCCCGATGAAGGGACAGGTCTTGTTTTAGGATCTGAGATGCATGGACCCAGGCTGCAGTTTTTAAGGTGCACTGAACTTATCGGTGATGGTGCTTTTAAAAATAACTCTGGTTGGCTCAGTCTGAAATGTCTTTGTGTTAACTGATGTTGTGCTCATCATCACTGCCCTTGATGACCGATTTTCCTGACCTGATGCATACAGAATAACAACCACTTATCTTCCAACAGCTCCTGAGGTCTTTAACCTGTTAGTAGAAGCTCATTTTGTTCCTGATACAGACCGCTGCAACCTCAGGCTTTATGTAATGTGCGGTTCATCTGCCCCTGCGTGTGTCTCTGTGTCCCAGCGCTCCTGAACTCCATTCTAAGAAAGGAAACAGGCAATATTTGTTAAATTTTAAACAGATTTCCTCTTGGACTCAGGGATTACATGTTAGATTTGGGAGGTCAAAGGTCAGGGTCACTGTGGCTGAAACACAATGATCTATATGCGCTAAGCAGGGGTGACAGTAACTCAAGGTAAGAAACGGTACAGTGTGATACGAGATGGCCCATGATAAAGATTTTATCATCGTACAACGATTCTGAGATAATGGATAAGTTCTAAGACAATCATAAAAGGATACATATCCGATTAAGTGAAGTATAAAAATGCCCCTTAACGACAACTGCAATCTTGCTCCATCTAGCACACATTGGTTTGTTCTGCAGCCACAAGAGGGGTCTTCTTCTCTCTTTCTGTCTTTATTAAAAAACACATTTATATATATTTTTCCTATTTGCATGTATTGATGGAGAGACAGGAAACGTGTGGGGGGTGACAAGCTGGTATGCACTAAAAGGCCAAGGCTGAGTGTTGTACCTGCGGCCAATGCTTCCAGGACGTTAGCCACTGCATGTTGGGCACCTGCTCTACCAACTGAGCCGAACAGTAGCCCCCTAGAGGGGTCTTCTTACGGTCACTTGCTCAACATAGAAACACAAACACAAGATGAGAGACAGATATGTGTTGTGTAACTTTGCGTCTGCTGTAAATGATTGCGTTGCACATTCTCCTGTTTCATAAAAGGCCTTCCTTTGCATCGATTTTGTTTTCTGGGTGAAGAGTTTTCTCTGGTTTTACAGACATTTTGCAGACATCATCATACACTAGATCATGTCACTGCCCTTGTGTTGGAAACACTGACGCATGTAAACTGCATCGTTCACTGGATAGTGGAGGCATATAATCAAGCAGCAGTAATTCCAGTTGAGCAAAGACCCAGAACTGAATCTTTGCTGGATCTTCTGCGGAGAAGATCTGTTGACACCTGAGTGGGGGAAACCTCTCCTGTATTGACTTTGTGTGTTTTCTCCTCATTACCCCTGCCCAATATAATGACATTCATTTTAATGCCTTGCATCTGCCTCAGAGTGAACTCTGTGTCGCTCTGAGGTAAACTCATTTTGGTTTGTGTGACTTGGACTGAGCAAAGAGAGCATTATTTACATAGAAATAAAGCCATTATCAATCACATGTATTATTCACATGAAGCCCCGCCTTCTGCCTCCCTCCCTCCCTCATCATCACTCTTTATCATTCCTCAACTTTCCAGCTTTCAGGCCTGCTCCTCTTTTTCTCTCTTGTGTTTTCCTTTCTTTATGTCCTTCTGTAATTGTGTTTCTCCCTCACACACACACACACACACACACACACACACACACACACACAGTATCATTTATTATTAACAAGCTTTTCATCAGCAGTGACATTTCATGCAAGCGGCGCACTCAGCCATGCAAAAACAACACACACATGTGTGCGCACAGCCGCTAACACACACATCATAGATAATTAAAGCCGTGTACTGCAGCAGAGACCAAGCCTGAGACCCGTTTGTTTGGCCAGGCAGGCAGGCACAGCTGACTCAGAGCCGCCCTCACATGGGCCTACTTTCACAGCCTTTATCACTACATGTAATATCTCACCCATCCCCTCCTTTCATCGCTCTATATTTGGGCATATCTCCTGACCGTCTCTGCATCCCTCCCCTCGTTTTATTTTACTCATCACTGTATTACTAAACCCCCTGTTCTTTTTTAATTTTCTTTCTATCACCCTCTGTCCCCTGGGGAGTCTCCATCTGGAGGTCAGACGGTGAAGGGCACTCCAAAGGGAGAGGAGGGTTGCAGCGAGGGGTGAAGAGCTTGGATGAAGAGGAAAGCATTCTTTGGTTTCAAGTGGATAAAAGAGCTTTTTTTGTGTGTGTGTGTGTGTGCGCGCAAGCAACAGGGGGCATAAACAGGGCAGAAAAAAAAGGTATTGTAGGATGCCCTCTGTTTTAATTTCATCCTCTGTCTAACAGGCTGAAAACAAAGACTTATAGGAATAATTTTATTTAGGATGGGATTGCGTTGGCTGTCGATTGTCCCAGCTCTTTGTTCTGCCTGGCGCATCTTTTTTTTTTAATGTATGAAGGCTCTCAACAGCCAAGTTCAGGTCAGTGAGCTAACCAGGGTTATGAGGCTGTTTCGGATAAGCTCTCTGATGACACGTTTGCATCTTAGATGGGATGTTTCATCAAAAATTAAGTAAGTTATCTATAGGGGGGCTGAGGCAGCTCAACTCACTGCAACACAAGAAATCACACATGGATAAATAACTCAACTAATTGCAGATATTCCGAAAGTGTTAAGTCTTCAAGGTTTTGCATTATATATTAGATATCTAGTGAAATGAACTTTTCACGAGTAACGTCATTGTTTATCAGCTTTGGGTGACCAACAAAATCGTATTAGGTTAAAACTGAGTTTTCTGTGTGTCTTTGTGCTTCTGATTTACGCTTTATGCTCCATGGGTGTTGTTTGCTTTGTGTTCTGTAAGTTGCAGACCCCTCCTCCCCCAGCTCCAGTTTGCAAACACTTAAAAGCAAAATGCTCTCTCCAAAACAAAAGTTGAATTGTGTACTGGAGAAAGACCTGACTGCTTGTATAAGTTCGCAGGGACAGTCTACAGAGGAGTCCAGCTGACTCTTCACATGAGAACATATGATGTCACAATATTATTAAACTATGTCTATGTCCTCAACCAGTTCATATACTCACGGAAACAGGAATTGTTTCCTGTTTTTGTTGTTTTGTTCCGTGCGATGAAAATGTCATTTCAAAGTTGAACTATCTTCTAAAATAACACCGTTGTTGTAAGCCAAAGTGTTGAACGCTTTCAACTTCTGGTTCATTGAATCTCAGTCACTTTACTCAATCTGTACATGCTGCTGCTCCTCTCCCGGCCCACATGGAGACCACTTTTTGGGCCAACAGAGGGTCAAATAAGGACAGTGAGCTCAGACAGTTTGGAGACGAGGCAGAATAATTTGTTTTGGCTGAGTGTGAAACACTAGGATTGCCTCTTGCTTTTGCATGTCCAACTTACGTTTATTTTTTTCCTGTTTCTGGAGTATCTGTGACTTCCACTAATTCTGGCTTAAGTATGAATTAGATAACAGGAGTCTCCCAACCATGTGTCTCAGATCCTCATCCACAGTGATCCAGTCAAGCGTCACGTCGGGGTCTATGCTCAAACAACTGCAGCGCAGAGTGTGTGTCTTTGGCCGTTGTAAAATAGATTCACAGATTGCCCGCACACACTCAAACATACAACTACAGATGACATTAGGGTAGACATGCAGAAACAGATAAACACAATCATGTGGACCTTCTGTTTCCTCTCCGACTCCCTCCCCCATCTCCCCCTCTCTCTTTCTTTTCTGGCCATGCCCTTTCCTTTCCTCTCTCTCTCTCTCTCTCTCTCTCTCTTTTCACACATGCATGCACACACAAACACACACACTGTACACAGAATCACAGCGGTATAGCCTGACATGCAGGCAGGGCAACAAAAAGGCAGGGATGTGAGAGGAGAAGGGGACAAGAGCTGTGATCGTCCTCGAATGCAGGAGGGAGAGTCGGAGAGAGGGAAGGAAGAAAGGAGGGAGGAAGGGGAGGGCGAGTGGAGGGACGACAGCTTCGACATACATGGAGAGGAGGCTCTGACTAAGAGATGATGTGAGTGCCTATTTGAGAGGATCTGTCCCTCTTTTCCCTTCTTCTCCTCCTCCTCCTCCTCCTCCTCTTCTTCCCTCTTCCGCCACTCACTCACCAGCTGTTTCTCTGTCCTCTCTCTTCCTCCCACCCCCTCTCGCCTTTCCTCTGCTCTACCCTTTCACTCATATTATGTTTACAGCCAATGTGAGGCTAAAGTTTGCGTGTGCGTGCATTGTGTGAAAAAAGAAAGCAAGGGGGGGAAAAAAAAGGGCTGGTGAGGTTATTTATGTGTGATTTGAAGGCATGTGGAGTCAGAGACCGCAGCAGAATCTGCACAAAATCCGATTTCTTCTTTTAAAAAATGCCAAATCAGCTACTGTTTTCCCTTTTTGTTATTTTATGTAATAACAATTTGACATGTCTTCTACTATTTCATCACTTACCTGTGCAGTCTTCAAGTCCTGCTTTCTGCTCCCTTTAAGTTAATTGTTTCAGATTAGACTGCATTGCAAAGTCTCATCTGTTTTATGAATGGGAAGCCATGACAGTGACAGATAGGAGGAGTGAATACCCCATATGTAAACCATTAAAGGAGGAGGATGGAGAGCACAGTGAGAGTATGTGGTATTGATTTGACTCGCATGTTTTGACTGTATGTGTGTGTGTGTTTGTGTATGTTTGTGCATGTAGCCCCCTGCCAACAAACCCAATCACCCCTCTCTCTCTCTCTTT